ACAAAATCAGAAGATAGAACATTATGGCTATCAAGAAAGATAATGGTGAGTGGTGTTATGAAAAAGAACAGATTGCAGCTGAGGCGATATCCTTTTCAGCAGTCTTTACCAAGAGGAAGAGACTTCTTCTTACGAGAGTGAGTTGGAGCACATCCCTAATGTCCTAAGTGAAGATGAAAATCTGTTTCTTGGAAGTCTGCCGGGCGAAGTTGAAGTAAAACATGCAGTCTGGAGTCTTAGCCAGGAGGCAGCTCATGGGCCTGATGGATTTGGGGGTTTCTTCTACAAAGGGTGATGGGCTATCATTCAAGGGGATGTTATTCGGGCTGTCCAGGATTTCTTCTTAGGGGTTCTTGTTTCGAAGGGGGTGGGGAGTGTTAATCTAGTTCTCATTCCAAAAAAGGCAACCCCAAGTTCTTTTGGTGATTATCGTCCTATTTGTCTAACAAATTTTATTAGCAAGGTAAATACTAGGATTCTGGCTATGCGTATGAATTCTATTTTGCCTAAAATAATTTCCTGTGAGCAGTCCGGGTTTATGAAAGGTAGAGAGATTAAAAGGCAAGCTCTAGTAGCTCTTGATGAGATGTTACACAATTTGGATAGAAGGGTTAGGGCTTCTAATGTTGTGATCAAGTTAGATACGACTAAAGCTTTTGATAGGGTCTCCTGGGACTTTTTACAGGCCATTTTGGAGAGGTTTGGTTTCAGTCAGCATGTGGTCAATCTAATTATGGGTAATCTTAAAGCTACTTTCATCTCTATTCTGATAAATGGAACACCTTTTGTTTTTTTCAAGCCTGGTCGTGGAGTTAAGCAAGGAGACCCATTGTCACCATTGCCTTTTGTTATAATGTCAGAGGCGTTTTTTAAAGGCTTAAATTATTTGGTTTCTACTGGGGAGATTGAAGCTTTTAATCTTGGCAGAAGTATTCATATTCCGCATTTGGCCTTTGCGGACAATCTTATGGGTTTTCTTAATGGGTCTGCTAGATCTATTAAAAAAATTAGTAGGTTTCTACAGGCCTATCAAACAACTTCTGGGCAGTTGGTGAACAAAGATAAAAGATGTTTCATAGCAGGTAAGTATACTACCCTTGCCATAATCCTACAAATTGAAAACATTCTCGGAATGAAAATGGCAAAGTTGCCCGTTAAATACATGGGCATTCAATTTCACCAAGGTATTACCCGGGTAACACACTCTAAAGGATTATTGGACTCTATTGACAAAAAACTTTCTACTTGGAACAAGTGATGGCTTTCCCAAGGGGGTAGATTGGTGCTCATTCAGCATGTGCTCAATTCGCTGCCTTTACACAATTTTGGCAGTGACAGATTTGCCTAAATCAGTCATTACCATGCTTAAAAGAAAGGTGGCTTGTTTTTTCTGGGGTTACTCTAATAACAAGCCTAAGCATCATTGGATTAAATATAAGGACCTTTGCAAGCCTAAAGAGTGTGGGGGGAGTGGGTATTAGGTCTTTGACTGACATTCAGCAAATTTCAGCCATCAAATTGTGGTGGGAATTTCAGGAGGGGGCTTCTATCTGGGCTGATCTTATGTGTAGCAAGCATGCCAGAAGGACTTTGGGTGTTATTAAGCCTACTGATTATTCCACCTGGAGGAGAATCAGTCTCATTCATGAGAAGGCTGAAGGTATGGTAACTCGTGACTCTCAGAACATTAAATGGAAGCACACAACAAATGGAAAATTCACATCTAAATCTGCCTATCAAGCTTTAAGGCCTCAAGGGGGAAGAGCCTTATCAAATGACCTCATCTGGCATCCCAAGCAGGTGCCCAAGATCAGGATTTTCTTATGGAGACTGGAATAAAGGGTTGGCCTTTCCGGAGAGACTAGCAGTCTTCTCAGCTGTTTTTCCTTCCATTTGCCCCTTCTGTAGAAATGTGAGCATTTCAGAGGACCATGTCCTTCTGGTATGGCCCATAGCTGACTCCATTTGGTCTTTCTTTGCTAATTCTTTGTTATCAGCTCCTGCGAAAGTTACGAACATTAAATCAAACATTATGAAGTGGTGGGTTTCGAACTCTGGAAAATCACTGGATAAAGTCTATTCACTCGTTTTACCTGGGGTTATAACTTGGCATCTTTGGAAGGAGTATTGGGATTCAACATTCAATGGCTCGGTGGTGAAACAGGTTGTTATTAACAAAATAATAAAATTCATGTTAGGGTGGTGCTCGGGTCAAGATAATATTACAAGTATGGAGAAGCTCAAGGAGATTGGGTTGTTACCTGCATCTTTCAAGTGCAGAAAGTCGCAACTTCTTTGTTGGTCAAAGTCGAGATATCCGAACATGAAACTTAACCGGGCGATCTTCAGGCAGTTTGGGAAATCATCTGCCGGTTTTCTTCTCCGTGACCACTCTGGAGCGATGGCGGCGGCGGACGGCTTTCCTCTGAGTGGTTCGAGTGTAAAAGACGAAGAGATCTTGGCTCAAGCGGTGCGGTGGTCTAAAGGATTGGGGTTTCCAAATGTGGAGGTCGACGTTTCCTATTCTTATTTGTTGGGGTCATGTGCGAATGTGGGCCTTTATAGGCCCAGCCTGAGTTTCAACTACTCGTCGGTCCATGTTAATAAATCAGCGAGAATTGTGGCTAGTTTGGGCAGCCTTAAGCCTTTTTCGTGGAAGATGGGGAAGTATATTCCCAAAGAGCTTGATGGATCGATCAAGGTGGATGCAATGGAGACACCGTATATTTTTTAATTGATTTTCTTCTGAGTGTAATTTTTGTCTTTGAGGTTTTTGTCTTTTAGAGAAGTCTAGGCCTAGTCCCCTTCTCTGATTGTACTCGTATTGGCTTTAATAATATTATGGTAGCTGATCCTCGATTCCTGCCCCACTGATTTTGGTGGTTTGCCTTTCGGGATAAAAAAAATGGAGGATGGATGGATAGGGGAGAGAAAAGGAAAAAAAGAGTGGAGGGGGAAAGAAAATCGACGCATTCATGGAGTGGGGCGACGTCATCTCTGCATCATGTATGCGTCATTATTATCCAAAATGTTTCTAGATTTTTATAACTTTTATTTGTTCTCCAAAATTTTCAAAAAATATATCAAAATTCTTGAAGTTTTATGCTCTTTCATATGACACAAATATGTAATATAAAAAACCCTGAAGTTTTAATTGTTGGAGTTTTTTGAGTTTGAAAAAACATGAAAGGCAATTTTTTAATTCAGTCTCCACAAATAACTGAATATTCCATAATCGAACTTTACTAGAACTAAGTTCATTTTTTGTTAACCGAAAAATGTTTAAAAAATAATGAAATTTATTTATTTTTACATCAAAATGTGTAATTTTTATTTCATAATTATTCAAGAAAAAATTAGAATGAAAATATTACTTAAAATAATTTAATTAATGATTTACTAAATTGATATGTAAAAAATATGGAGAGTGCGTTTTATTGACAGTGGTTAAATGCAAAGAACATGAGTCAAAACACCGTTTGTATGTGCATGAATTCCATTTTTGACCAAAGTTTTCATGACACTCTTCGGTCTTCTCTGCATCTTCTTTCTCCAGTGACCACACGTCCTTACCTTCCAATTTCCAGGTCTTTACATGAATCATGATGATGAATGTAGCCATAAATGTGCACTGATGTTTGAGCTGAGCTTATTGTCCGTAACTTCATGCTACCCTTTAATATTGGAAAAATTCTAAAGATACCCACTTTTTAAAATACGTTATGTCTGTACTGACATAAAAAAATCTTACACAGATGTGTAAAAAGTGTGTACACAAAAAAGTGTGTATCCCAAATCTAACTCTTAATTTTGTGTACAACACATGCGACAATCCATATCAAGAGGCTGATCTGAAAATTTTCACACAAGTTTAGACTTCGGATTAGTTTTGGTTTTCCCTTTTTAATTTTTGGGAATTTCACGTGGGTTGTTTTTTCTTTTGTTTTTACTGATCTTGAAATTGATTTCATAGACAGTATGTTGCATAGAGAACAACCCTAATGGTTGTTAGTCAACCCTTGTTTGTTATCAGTATAAATTTACTGTATGGTATACATGTAAACACTAAATCCCTTATTCATTCAAGAAGTAATTCTAATCTTATTTGTTTTGAAATGCAAAGTTACATATTTAATTAAATAATTGACACATAAAACTGAGAAATTAAAAAAAAGAGGTAACATTACCTAAATAAGAAAAAAAAAAAGAATGACTCCCAGCACTAACCGAACAGTTAGATGGAAGGATGTAAATTGGACTTTAGTCATAAGCTGACAGATAGAGAGTGAAGCTATGTCCATAGTACTTGCAGAGACCCGATTCATTTTAGTATAATCTCTCATCCCACTTGTCAGGATTCGAACCTGAGACTTACCTCTTGGCACTTGAAGGGTTTTTTATGGGACTCGAACACGAGACCTCTCCTATGTAGGGATAACCTCACAACCCTATACCCTAAAAATAATACGAATGAATAAAAAAAATAAGAATGTCACGTAAGGAATGGGGGACAATGTACCCAAAACCCTAAAAATAATACGAAAAAAATAAAAAAAATACTCACTTCATCCCGAAAAAATTAGCCAAATTTTCTTTTTTGGATGTTCCAAAAAGATTGTTCATTTCCATTTAAAGTAAGAAATATGTGGTTAAAATTAATTCTTTCTCCTCTGTACAAATTTCAACTACACAATTTTTACTTTATTAATGCACGTGAAAGTCAATTTTGACAATTTTCGGATGGAGTAATACCAAGTGGCAATAATGATAAAAAAATATTTGAATGGCCTAACTCTGACATCGATCACTGAAGGATGGTGGCACCGTGGCACATGCCTCCTGTCACCTCAGACCTTATTAAACGCTCAAGATCTCCCCGTACGGCTGCCTCAACGGCTGAGATCTCAATTACCAAAAAACCCCTTCTCTCTCTGAGAGAGAGCACGGATTAAGAAAAGTAAAGAAAGAATGAGGCATTACTACACTACACTCCTCTGCTCCTTTCTCTTTCATTGGTCATCCCCCCACTCTCTCTCTCTCTACTGCTCTCAGGTCGAGCTTGGTCGGGTGGGCTATAAATCCAACTCTCTCTCTTCAAAAGCTTTCGTCAGGGGGACAGCGATACTGCACGGAAAGGGTCTGGGTTTCACCTGAATTTCAGCTTAGCCGAGCTAAGCCCATACCCATCATAGCTCCAAGATTTGCTGATCTTTTTCCTGTTTTAATGGAAGTTTTGGAGATAGATTGAGTTAACCCACCGCTCCATCATTGGCTTGATTTGTGGTTCTGGGTTTTTTGTGTTTGCCGGTTTTGAGATGAGATGGAGCTTTTCAGCTGAAAGCATTCAAGAATTGGGGTTGAGTTAAGGTGGTGCTGGCATGAGGTTAAGGATGTTGAATCTGGTTGGGTGTTCAGGGTTTGACTAGCAAGTGCTGTTCAGGGTTGGTAATGAGGATCTTATTGATGGCATAATTGAGTGGATAATCATAATTAAGGTTTTAATTAATTATTACTCATCGTACGCATACCGTACACACTTGCATAATAGGACAGTGGGGGGAAATGACCATGAAGATTTCAACATCAGGAATGGGTCAGCAGGCTCTTGAAGGTATCCACATATCTCCTTCCACAGTTCCACTACTCTTTTTTCTCCTTATTGTAATTTTCCTTTTTCTTTTCTGCCTGGCCTTTTCTTGTCATGTCTCCCTATAAGTGTCTCCTCATCTTGTTTTTTTTATAATTAAAAACGGGTCATTCTCTTTTTTTATAAAATAAAAACTGAAGAAATAAATTCTTATCGCACAAGCTTGTCAAGTTAATACTTTGATAAGCATACGGACCTATAGCAAATAAGATATTATTATGACTAATTAGTTGACTAAATCATGCTGCTGATTGGATCTGTGGTTGAACTTGGGTTGTGAATAGGAGAGAAGAAGTGTTTGAACTCAGAGCTGTGGCATGCCTGTGCTGGTCCTCTGGTGTGCCTTCCAACAGTTGGGAGTCGTGTGGTTTACTTTCCTCAGGGTCATAGTGAACAGGTCCTTTATCCATCTTTCTTTTTACATTTAATGTCTTCTTATCTTTTACTGAATTTTACATTGATAAACATTTCATTTGGATTTATGGGTGTTGAATTTCCAGGTAGCTGCTACAACTAATAAAGAAGTTGATGGTCAAATACCAAATTATCCAAACTTGTCGCCACAGTTGATCTGCCAGCTCCACAATGTCACTATGCATGTATGTTTAACTTCAAATTTCATTTTCATTGGGGATTTTACAGATTTAAACTAGTTAGTTGTAATGGTAAATGTTTAATATGTGGGACTTCAGGCAGATCTTGAAACTGATGAAGTCTATGCTCAATTGACATTGCAACCCCTCACTCAGGTACTCCCTCCCTGTATAATCTGATTAGCTCATCAGTTTAACAGGTAAACCTTTTCTAGTTTGATGGGTTTTGATGCCTGGAGTCTTTCTATGTTTTGTGTTAATAGGAAGAACAAAAAGACACTTATCTTCCTGTGGAGTTGGGAATTTCTAGCAAGCAGCCAACTAACTATTTTTGCAAGACACTCACAGCAAGTGATACTAGTACTCATGGTGGCTTCTCTGTTCCTCGTCGGGCTGCAGAGAAAGTTTTCCCTCCTCTGGTACTATTTATGCTCTTCCTCTGATCTTCATCATTAGAGTATCATCTTCTTATACTGCGATCCGCTTTCCTCTATGCTCCTGCAGGATTTCACGCAGACACCACCTTGCCAAGAACTCATTGCAAGGGATCTACATGATGTCGAATGGAAATTCAGGCATATTTTCCGAGGTAAATATGAATTGGATTTTTGGATACAAGCACCTCAGTCTCGATTGGATAAGTATAAGGATATTAGTAGGACAAGTAAAGATATACTTGTATTAGAAACATAAATTGCGCTAAATAGGAGTAAAGACATGCTATTTTCCAAAATAGTACTATGTTTTTCCAATAAATAAGAGTAACTACAGTTATGCTGGGTAAACACTCCCAAATATGACATTATTATTACTACCAATTAGTTCCAATGACCAAAACATGGCAGTATGATTCCATAATCGCAGTAATTTACGCTTATTTAGGGAAAAAATAGTACATCTCTTTTGGAATATCACATTTTTTGCTTCTATTTTGGGGATTTCCCTACTAGATGAGATAAAGGAGTTGTACCATACCACAATATAAAAGTTGTTCCTTGAGTATTGACATGATCTAGAATGCAGATTCATGTTTCCTTCACTGAATGTTCTTCTTCTTTACTCACATTGCAGGGCAGCCTAAGAGGCATCTTCTTACTACGGGCTGGAGTGTGTTTGTCAGTGCCAAAAGACTTGTTGCGGGAGATTCCGTTCTTTTCATCTGGTACACATGTGACTTCTAAAAAAGTTTTTATACCCGCTTCTGTGCTTCTCTTGAAAAAAATTCTTTTTCAGGAATGAGAAAAATCAGCTGCTGCTGGGGATTCGTCGCGCGACTAGACCACAAACTGTAATGCCGTCATCGGTTCTGTCAAGTGACAGTATGCACATTGGGCTCCTAGCTGCTGCTGCTCATGCTGCAGCTACTAACAGCTGTTTCACTGTTTTTTTTAACCCACGGTAGCAAAAATATACATTATGATACTTCTAATGGCTATCCCATCTTTTTTTATATTTGCACAACTTTTTCACCGTATCTCTTTCTATTCATTATCATCTCAGGGCTAGCCCATCTGAGTTTGTTATACCTCTTTCAAAATACGTGAAAGCTGTATATCACACCCGTGTCTCTGTTGGGATGCGTTTTAGGATGCTGTTTGAAACAGAAGAATCAAGCGTTCGCAGGTATTTATTTCTCCCTCAGTCACTATTCTATGAATTTTCTCAATCATCAATATCTACAGCCAAATGCTATGCATGGTGACATTCTATGTATAATCTGTTATACTGATCTGACATGTGTAATAATGCATTTTGTTCAGATACATGGGAACAATTACTGGCATTGGTGACTTGGATGGTATTCGTTGGCCAAACTCTCACTGGCGGTCTGTTAAGGTAAAAATCAGTTTAGTTTGTTATTCTCTTTTTACATTCTTTGTGTGTACTGTGTAGCTCTTAATGCACCAAACCCCCATGTGATATGGAAATTCAGCGCATTGGCCCCCTGTGATTTAAAAAATGCGTCAAACCCCCTTGTGTTTTAATTAATTATGCGCAAAATCCCTTCTATGAACAAATTCAATTGTCAAATAAAAGAAAAATGATTAACATTTTTGTATGATTTAGAGATTTTGACATATTTACTTGCATATTCAATCAGAATATTAGGAAAAGTGATTTCAAAATCATTAAATTTATTCATAAAAGGGGTTCTGTGCATGATTCATTAAAACACAAGGGGGTTTGATGCATTTTTTCAAATCACAGGGGGCTAACGCGCTGAATTTGTATATCACGAGGGGGTTTGGTGCATTAAACCCTAGTATTTCCTTAAGAAGCTCGTTCTTCTCGGTTCCTGGTTTAGTCATTTTATGTCTAATACTCTCTCCATCTCATAAAGCAGTCCTCTTAAAAGCTGTTTTGTCCCAATAAAGAGTCTTAGTTCATCTAATGGAACTGGTTTTTCATCTGATTACATGACTTATAAGAGATGTACCTTCACCAAGTAGTGCTCTTTTGTGGGATGAAGGGGTAGTTCTAAGTTATTGCCTGTCTTTTCCTGCTTGGCTACCAGTTGTAGAGTGATTTAATATTATATGTCTCCTCATTTCATGCTGACATCTATTTTTTTAACTAATGTGTAGGTGGGTTGGGATGAGTCAACTGCAGGTGAAAGACAGCCAAGGGTATCGTTATGGGAAATTGAGCCATTGACTACTTTCCCCATGTACACGTCATTATTTCCCCTTCGGCTAAAAAGGCCTTGGTATCCAGGACTCTCAACATTCCAAGGTACACCAAAATATATTATTCCCTCCATCCAAAAAATAGTCTGGTTCCAAAAGTTTTTTCGTGTCCCAAAAAAGAGTCCATTTCATCAAATGAACCTAAATTTTCATGTAATTCCCAATAATTTGCAAAAAAGTTTTCAGACACGTTAAGGAAATATTACACATTTAGTTAAACTAACAAATACATTTTAAAATATAAATATGATTTCACACTATTTAAAAGTCGTACCTTGCCAAAATTAAAGTTTGACCTCATCTGGCTCTTTACCTGGGACGGATGGAGTAAATTTGAATTTTTCTTTCAATCTTATTGCAGACAGCAGTAACAGTGAAGTCGTGAATGGAATGGCATGGTTAAGAGGGGAAATGGGGGAGCAAGGAGGACCACCACCACAATCGCTGAATCTCCAGTCTTTTGGTATGGTTCCATGGATGCAACAGAGAGTTGATCCAGCATTGCTTCGGAACGACCTTAACCAGCAGTACCAAGCTATGCTTGCTGCCGGCCTGCAAAACATGGGAAGTTCAGCAGATCCTTTCAAACAGAACCTCATGCAGTTTCAACCACCTGTCCAATATATGCAAGCTTCAGGCAGCAATAATAACCCATTGTTACATCAGCAACATTTAATCCAACAAACCCAAATGCTATCTGAGAGTTTGCAAAGGCAACCCCAACAGCAAACTAGCAGTCAGACCGAGGAACCGGCCAGACAACATGCTTACCAGAACTCTTTCCCTATGCCCAATACTCACCAAGTAGCCAATTTTTCAGATTCAAATGCAAAATTTGTTTCACCGGTTTCTCCTTCTGCAAACATGCAATCTATGCTGGGCTCCCTCTGTCATGAAGGGAATACTAATAATCTGTTGGATTTCAAAAGAATTGGTCAGTCTATGGTAAATGAGAAGAGTGAACAACCCCAACAGTCATGGTTGCCGAAATATGCCAACAGTTCAGCTTCTAGTCAGCAGCAGCAGGTGACTTGTGGTGTGGATGCCCAAAACCAACAATCATTTTTTGGTGCAAATCTAGACAACTCCGGACTTCTCCTTCCCACCACTTTGTCAAGTGTTACGACTTCAGGTGTTCATGCAGATATGTCATCTATGCCATCAGAGTATCAGAATTCTCCTTATGGTTACATGCAAGACTCGTCTGAGCTGGTGTCCAGTGTCGGACAAGTTGACCAAACAACCCCTGCTCCTACATTTGTCAAGGTGGCTAATCTCTATTGTTTTTTTAACCCGGAAGGCAAACCACCAAAATTAGTGGGGCAAATGCTGGGGAACATTTGACGGAATTTTATTGATAAAGAAATGAGTACAAAAAGAGAGGGGGATCGGCTAATCTCTATTGTTCTTAAAAATTATTAACCATGTATCTTATCTAGACTTCTCCTTGATAGATAGATAATAGTCTCGTTCTTGAAAGCAGGTTTACAAATCAGGATATGTTGGGAGGTCACTGGATATCACCAGAATCAGCAGCTATCATGAGCTACGACAGGAACTGGCTCAGATGTTCGGAATTGAAGGGTTACTTGAAGACCCTCAAAGATCAGGCTGGCAGCTTGTATTCGTTGACAGGGAGAATGATGTACTTCTCCTTGGAGACGACCCGTGGGAGTGAGTAATTAAACTAATCCTTTGTTCATTAGGCCTAGTTTAGGCTTCGTTTGGCAGCACTTTCTGCCTTATTCCGCTTATTTGGGTGGAGGGGATGTTAACAATATCTTGTTCTTCATATGGGTGATGGGTCAATAGATTAGGTTCGGACCAGTGTAGGCTTCTTATGGTAGCCTTATTTGGCATATTCTGTTTAACAGCAGAATAAGAACATTTTGACTTATTTGGATGAAATGGATGTTGCCAAACACTTCCCTTCAAATGACTCATCATAGTATTAGGTCAGGCCTAGTTTAGGCTCTCATTGGTAGCCTTATCTGGCTTATTCGGCTTCTCTGCAGAATAAGTAGATTTTGTCTTACTTATGGATGAAAGGGATACTTTTGAACAGTCTTCCTTCAATTCAACAGATTTGGTCATTTCAACCATATAAGCCATACCTTGATGGGCCCTTAATCTCACAGTTAAGGCTATAGAACAACAAAAAACCTACATCTGTCATGAGGTGTTTTCTAACTACAACCCTTATATTTTTACAAACTTAGGGTTAGTCAGCCAGTTAGTCTTAAAAAACAGTTTGACTGCAAACACATATGCATGTACACTTGTACATCAATTCTATACCATGAAAAATCAAAATCTTAAAATGTTTTTTATTTCGATTTCTGCCCCTTAGTCTTGTTTCTCCTTGATTAAACTGTTTGCAATCAATGCAAGATATTGAAAGGACTTGCATCTGCAATTTTAATTTGATACTGATAACGATGATTCTTTCAGGGCATTTGTGAATAATGTGTGGTATATCAAAATCCTTTCACCCGAGGATGTGCAGAAGCTGGGGAAGCAAGAAGCCGATTCCCTTAGCGGAAACACAATGGAGAGGATGCATGGCAGTGGTAGTGCTGATGGAAGAGACCACCTGTCTGGATTTCCTTCTCTAGGATCCCTCGAGTACTGATTTTGTATTTCCCCCATCTTTCCACTTGTGGACTCGACATGTTCAAAACCACTTTTATTTGCCCCATCTACCCAGACTTCATTAATTACCTTTGTCCAGTCTGTCTCATCCTCATTTGTATGGTGTAGTGATTTTGTAGGAGCTGAATGTTCTTTTTATGGGTCTTGGACTACTTTTAGAGTTTTAGTATCCATCTAGACCAGGTATTGGCACCATTGCACCTTCAAGCTATGTAATGTCTTTTTGAGAATACTAGGTAATTAGTTTCTTTCTTTGTCTACCAGTAAGGTACCAAGAGAGGAATGGCCGGTTTGGCCACCCTACTCACCTGCACTGAGTTATGCTGAATTTATTGTATATATAAGTTTGTTTTTTATGCATAAGCTTAGAAAATGTTTTAAATTCTGTCTACCCAAAGCATGGAAAAGAAATTCTGTTCCTGTTAATGCCATTTTCTAGCTCCATCCCTGAGGTCAGTTGCTTATTTGCTTTGTTAAATACTTTGTATATGACTATTGTAGCTGATATCAAAATGATTATCTTAGGAGATGACAAATTCAATTATTTTATTACATGAATTTTCTTTGCAACTTTATTAATTACTAATAATGATAAGAAGTAGGAGTAGCTTCAAAGAAGAAGTCCAAATAGATACTAGACCAAGAACTATATGATAAGTGGCAAGTGACAAATACACATATACATCGAACTGAACAAGAGATTGTCAAAAGAACCTCAAACTATTTTATTTGTAGTATATAGGACCAGGGCCGGCCTTTTGGTACTTTAGAGCTTCAAGGTGGAACCTATGAAAGAGGGCCTACAAAATATATAGGGTTCAGATTTGTTATTACCTAACCAAAATAACTTTTCTGACTTTGAAGATATTGAAGTTTTATTATGCATTTACAATGATACTCCGCATATACAGTAGAATAAAAGACTTAACTCCTTTGAAAAAAAGACTTAACTAGTTACTTTTTATTTTATTTTTAAATTATAGTTGAGTGTAATCTGCTCTGAAAACTTAATGTGAGGACATTGGAGAAAACTTTAATAAAAAACTAAAAGGATAGTTGAATTTAAGCAAAAAATAAAATTCGGGTCAAAGCATGGTAATATAAGTAAAGAGTTAATTTTTAATACTTTTTAGTTATAATTTTATGAGTAGAATTCTAACTTAGTAGGAATGTAGGATGTTGTTGTTACTCAAAGACTCAAAGTATTAATTATGTTTATGATTCCTACATATCCTTTCCTAATTTTTATTACTTTTTAATTCACGTCAATAGAATTCTAAAATTACGTTTGTTGTAGGAATTGCTCAAAATTGTATTATAATTAAACTCAAAGTAATTTAGAATTATAATAGACATAATTAGTAATCTACTATTATTATTACTATAATTACTATTATTATTATTACTATAATTATCGTCACCATCATCATTATCTTTATTGATGTTGTTATTGTTATTAACTTACTCGTATTTATTGATGTTGTTATTGTTATTAACTTACTCGTATTATTTAAGATTCGCCTAACTAAAGTTCAAAATTCAAATGGAACCTCCAGAATCAATCAATGATACACTGATATAGTGACAGTTTATATGGTCACTAAATTACAATGTTCAACTACCAAAGTAATTATTACTCCACAATAAATAAAACCAATGGAAAGTCTTATTTAATTTGCCCTCTTCCTTCATACATTTCATACTTTACTGTTATGAGTCAATAAGTAATTTGAATAATACAAGAATTTATTTTGTATTAATACCAAGAAGATTTGAGAAATTTCAATATAATTGTATGCAACATCGGGTATTAGCTCTTAATAGGACTAAAATAAGCCCAAAATTCAATCATAGGAGTACAATACCTTTATTTCCAAAATATGACTAATATATGTCCCTTCTTCTCATTCTACCCCCTTCCTATGATTTTCAATAATAGATTTATTTTATTAATAAGAAAATCAAAATTTTATTTATAATAAAAATATAAAAATAATAAAATATTTATAAATTATTAAAAAAACGTGAACAATTAAAATAAATAAATAAAAATATTTAAAAAACTTTAAAAAAGACTAAAAATAAAATAAAATACCTAAAATATATTTTAAAAATATGTAGGTCACCGCCAACGCGTCCTCTACCTCCCAGCACCACCAGCTCCGGTCGCCGGAAAAAAATGTCATCTTGTGTAAAAACTGACACATTTCTCTGAAAATGCCATGAAGATGACATTTTTATTCTTTGAAAATATCTAGCTTTCTCTTCAAAATTGACATCATGATGACATTTTCCCCCCAACTTGGCAATCTTTTTCGGCGACTGGAGGTGGCGGTGCTGGAAGGTGGTTGAGGTGGTGGTTGATTTTTAATTTTTTTACGATTTTTTTTATTTTGATTTTTTTATATTTTATAATGATTGTTTAAAAAATCGTATTAGGAAGGACAAAGGAAAGGTAGAATTGGAAGAGTTAGTTCTATTTTGAGAATTTGAACTTTAAAGTCCTATTGTTGCAATTATCTTTTTATTTAGTCCTTTTTAGGTAAATCTCCCTTCATCTTTCTAGTAATGCTTCATATTTTTTGCACCATTATTTGATTAACTATAAGTAATTCTCATTTCTCCACAAGCGAAAAATGTTTTGTATAAAAACTTATACAAAGTACTAATTTCTCAATGTCAAACTAGTAAGAAATGAGAAAAATATGAAATAGAAATAAAATTATTTTATTAAAATTGTTATGGAGTACTGATTAATTCACTCAAAATCATAATTGCTAAAACATCAAAAACCTGAATATTTTTTTATTAAAACTAAAGAATATGTTATACTTTGAAATTTACTAGTTGGGGATATATTAATATAGTAATACTGATTTCATTTATTGAAATTGAAGTTGGTGGTTTAAATAGGGAATTGGTACTTTAACTAAATCATTTTTGGGTTTAGAAGTTTTTGTTTGAATTAGAAATTTCTGATTTGATCTGGTCTGATTTTGGGCTAGTCTGGTCTGATCAGGTTTCATAGATGTCTGATCAGGTTTCATAGATGTCTGATCTCTGAACAGGTTTAATATAGGATTAGTCTTTGTATTTTACAATAGTCGAAATCTGATCTAGTCTAGTCTGATCTGATTTAGGAGTGAAACATTCTTAATCTTAGAACATAATATGTATAGAGATCTTGCAATCAAGATTAAGGGATTGTTTGCAAATGCTTTTGCTTAAAAAAATATTTTTTGAAGTGATTTTGGAAAAAATGATTAGTAGTAAAAGTTGATCGTGTTTGAGAAAAAAATGATTTGTAAAGTAAAAGTTGGTAGTGTTCGGTAAAACAAGTGCTTTTTGTGGAATAGAAAAAGTAAAAAGCATTTTTCACTCAAAAGGTGAGAAACGCTTTTTTAAATAGAAGTTATCACTACATTTGTATTGAAAGGTCATAGCCCCTCTCTTAGGGTTTTCTATTCTCCGCCGATTTTGTGTGGCTACTTGGCTTCTATTGACGAGGTGTTTGTTTCCATGGCTGCAGACGGAAGTAAGGCAGGGACATGAGGGTTGCTACAGCGGCTCAACAACGATGGTATGGCGCCAGCAAGCGATGGACAAGGGGAACAGTCGACCGAGAAACACATTGGGAAGGCTTGTCTGATGATTGATTCGGCTCATCAGGAAACCAAACGCCGGAGGACTAGTGTGACAGACCGGAGCAGAGGCGCTAGGGTTTGGAGTCGTGTCTTGCCCGTGTAAAAAATCATAGCGAAGGTCCGACCTCCTCCTGAACCACCACCATGGGTTGTACGAGGTGCTAGAGTCCGTGAAAGTTTTCCTATTACTTTTTATTATTTTGTCATTTGGTTTCTTGATACTGTCTATGTTGGTAGGTTTGTCAATTTGTTTGGGATTTTAGCCTTTGTATGTCATTGGGTATGTTTGGATCTATGGGAATATGGACAGTTGTGTCAAGCTGCTGCATGGTTAGCGATTTGTGTTGCTCTTTCAGGGGCAACTGTCTCTAAGTTTGATCATAGACTTTACAGACGTTGTTATTGGTGTTTAGTTGGTGTCAGATTTGTTTTTTCTTTGATTGATGTAATGATTCTGAAACTTATGATATGAATAGAGGCAAGTTTACGATAAAAAAAATAGAAGTTGTCACTTGAAAACACTAATTTTAGCTTTTAAGTCAAAAGCCGAGAAACGCTTGAAAGTACTTGGTACTTAAGTTGCATCTGAGACTAATCTATAATTAACTACATGTCTTCTACATAATTATAATTTGTATTTAGTTTGATTGTTGGAGAATATTTTTCTGAAACAAAAATCGTTTTCATGAACGTGAGTATTTGTAGCTTTAGAGCCCGTTTGATAATACCCAATTCAGCTACATTGGTTGATTCTGGTAAAATTTATGAAGTGGCTGGATTGACTGATTCTGGTGATTAATTAAAATAATAAAATAAAGAAAAAATTATATGAAAAATAGGTAAAATGTTTCTCTACAACAACTTTCGCCAATACAACCAGAGAAGTAACTTCGACCTTACCTTTTCTTATTTATTAGATAGTATTACACAATTTAGCGCGCAAAATCAAAAGTTACGTGCTTGGTGAAAAGTTGACCGATAAGCTTGATAAGCCTGATAAGCCAAAAATCAGGGTCATCAAGCGGTTCTTAGTGTGGTGTCACCGAAAATTTGGTTGATTCTGCCGAAATTTATGAGATTATGCTAAAATAGTGCGGCTCGTACGTGCTGAATTGGCTGATTCTGCTGATTTATGAAAAAGTACATTTAAAATATATTTTGTTAATAAAGTAAAGAAAAATTATCTTTTGTTATTATTACACAATTTAACGCGTGAAATCAAAGCTTATACGTTTGTTTAAAAAGTGACTGATAAACGTAAAAACATGATCACTAAATGAGCTCTTCAAGTCTCGTTAATCCATGAATGTGACTCGATTTAACAAACACTAATTATTAATTATCATAATGACATGTTTACGTATTATTTTCATAAACTAAAGAGTAAGTTAAAGTCAATTTCAATTACTCCGTATGTTTTTAGTAAATGAGGTCCTTTGGTAACTCATGTTTTAGTCTTATTGGTTTTGTCATTCAATTTTTTTCATCAAACACTTAATTCTTACTGAATTATGTAATAATCAAAATAAATAAGATTATAATTTATTTTCTTGACCAAATTGACTAAAGTTATTGTAGAAAATCATTTTAATTTTTTTATTTTTCTATTTTATCACCAAAATATATTTTAATTAATTTTTTTCCGTAATTCAAGATTGATGGAGTATATGGCCCAGGGACCCCCGGCCCACATACTTCCTCTACTACAATCAGGCCCAACAAGCCCAAACGGGCCAAGCCCAGAAAAATGGAGCTCTA